TTCTGACTCATAGAAACCCCAAGTACATCAGAGTAGAACTGTGCTCCAGGGTTTTCAATGGCTGTGAACTTTCAGAAGTAGATTGCTAGGCCTTTCTTCCAAGGCACCTATGGGTGGATTCAAATCACCAACCTTTCGGTTAGCAGCCAAGCATTTAACCATTTGTGACACCAAGGGACTCCCCTCAAATTCAAGTTCTCATGAAATGTACTCCTTCACATATCACACAATCCTCTATATAAAAGCCCATTCAAGTAAACTATGTATCCAGCCCCTAATATATGTTGTCCTTTCTCCTCCCTTCCTCATACCCACATTTCGTATATACTGTATCAGCCATGGAAAACTACATTGCTGAAGTGCTGCAAACAATTGCTCCTGGATGTCAAAACAGAGGACTGTGTGCGACTTAAGTCAAAACTGGGATTCCCTGCAGGTAGAGAAACAGCCCATAAAGTCTGGCTTGACAATGCCCTCAAAATAATACCTATTTTACTATACTCACATCAGACCTATCAAGTTCAAACTCACACTCTATCTGCAGTTACCACCCACACCAGTGCAGGGAGGGGCGAGTTTAGGGAGAGTTTGCCACGACTTCCAACTTCCAGAGGGCATCCGTTGGGAAGTGGCGGAGAGAAAGTTGCTGACTGAGCTGTAACTGTGATTCCTCTTTACACTGAAGACAAGGTCCCTTGATTTTTAAGGGGCAACCCTGCAAATGCTCTGAAGGCAAAAAAGGGAAGCCTCTGGATTAACTATTAGCATTTAATGTCACTGTTTCCTTAAAAATCTTGAGCAGGAAAGGACAAAAAGAGGAGAGAGACAGAGAGAGACAAAAAAAGAAAAAGGGCCCAGATGTACAAACAGAAAGAGAATGGAAATCAACATAAGGATGCAAAATAGACAGAGAACCCACAGGACAAGGGAATATAGTTAAGACTCCAAAATACAAATTTAGCCAGAGGTTTTAAAAACAAACAAACCACTTTTTCCTGCTTTATAATGAATTATATAGCAAAGTTTAGAGAATGATGCTACCTTTCATGAATGATATCTGTATAAGTAAGCCTTATCTATAATGTGTGGTTCACTGTCTCTTACACTTAGTTATATTATTTTCATATGTTTATGACCCAGATTCCTCATCTTAAAACAAGGGTCCCTGGAACTGAAGGTATCTAAAGTCCCTCCAGTTCTGAGAGAGTCCATGGCTGAACAACAGGGAAGAGGGCAGGCATGGTCTCCAGGGAAGCCTGTCTTTCTAGCAGTACATCAAAATATTTAAACCTAAAAACATTTGGTAGTTACTACTTCATTTAAATTCCGAAGTATTTCTGCTTAAAAGACTATTCTTAAATCTCTCCATTTCACAGAGAAAAGCAAGCACATGATTACTTACTATGGTTTGGGTCCTGCGCATTTGCCACATCTGGCATGTATCATCAGAGGTGAGTTCCAGAACTGATAGCATAGCCCCGTGGTTAAAAACAAACTCTGGAGCTGGACTACCTGGATTTGAATCTTGGCTCTGCCACTTACTGACTGAGCAACCTCAACAATTAACTTATTTATCTGTGCCTTAGTTTCTTATTTATAACACAGAAATAATAACAATCTACCAACTTCACAGAATTTTTATAAGATTAAATGAGTTACTAGTGGTAAAGTACTTAGAACAGGAACTGATACTATTTAAGTATTTGTTAAATAAGAAGCAATTTTAAAAACAGGCTATGGTTATTAGTGAGATGTAAATCAAAATCACAGTGAGATGACACTTTACATCTACTAAGATGGGCATCATTAAAAAAAAAAACAGAAGAGAAAAGATATGGGTGAGATGTCGAGAAAATAAAACTCTGATCTATTGCTGATGGGATTGTAAAATGATATAACTACTGTGGAAAACAGTCTGGCAGCTTCTTAAAAAGTTAAACATAGAAATACTATATGATCTAGCAATTCCACTCCTAGGTACACACCCAGAAGAATTGAAAGCAAGAACACAAAAAGATATTTGTACACCAATGTTCACTGCAGCCCTATTCACAACAGTCAAAAGGAGGAAGCAACCTAAATGTTGTCAACAGATGAATAGACAAATACAATGCAGTATATACATAGGATGGAATATTACTCAGCCATTGAAAGAAATGATACCCTAATGCAAGCTACAACATGGAGGAACTTTGAAAATATCATGCTGAGTGAAATAAGTTACAAAGGGACAACTATTGCATGATTCCACTTATATGAAATACCTAGGCTAGGGAAATGTATAGAGATCAAAGTTTATTAGTGGTTACCGAGGACAGGTGTGTGGGAGGGGAAAAGGTGGACTCACTGCTTAGGGGACACTGAGCTTCTGTTAAAAGGTGATGGGAAAATTTGGAAATGGATAATGGTAATGACTGAACACATGATAAGCATAGCTCATGTTATGAATTACACACGTGAAAAATGTTGAAAAGGCAAACAATTTGTTACATAAATATTTACCACGATAAAAATAGCCTAGGTACTATTCTTACTCTTGTTTTATAAGAGAAGAAACTAAGACTTACATAAGTTCAGTAACTGGGGGCCAAAGTCACCTAGCAATGAAGTTGTGGAGCAGGGATTTAAACCAGGACAAGACTCCAGAGCTCTTAGGATTTACAGCCATTGTGTGCTGTTTCCCTACACAGAGCAACTCAGACCTCAGGATGGAATAAGTTGAAATAGTGACCTAGGAACCCACACTGGAAATATGCCACTCTTCTATCTGGCTAGACCAGAAACTTCCAATTGTTCCTACTTACTTTTTTAGCATAAAAGTTAACAATGTAAAGTACTTTTAATGTCATACTTGTGTATCCCTTCAAAATTTTATGCTCACTAATTTTTCTATCCACATTTGGTCCACAGATAATAACCAGACCATAAAAACAACAAAAATACAGAATAAGCCTGGCTATTTCAGAATACTGGCCTCTCACTATAATACCCTGAACTAAAGTACTAACTTCTTATTATGTCCAGGCACTACGCTAAGCATTTAGTAACTATCTCATTTGACCCTCACAATAGTCCTCTAACTTCCACTTTTGTTGTTGTTATTAGCTGCCATGAAGTCAGTCCCCACTCATGGCAACCCCGAGCACATTGGAACAAAACACGACCTGGTGCTGTGCCATCCCCATGATGGTTTGTGGATTGAACCATTGTTATCCACAGGATGTTCACTGACTGGTTTTCAGAAGTAGATTGCCAGGCCTGTTTTCCGAGTCCATCTTAGTCTGTAAACTCTGCTGAAACCTGTTTAGCATCATAGCGACATGCAAGCCTCCACTGACAGACGGGTGGTGGCTATGCATGAGATGCATTAGCCAGGAGCAAACGGAAGCTCAGAACATTTAGGAAAGTTTGCCAAGCTCATGTAGCTAGTAAGTAGCAGAGCCAGGATTTCAACCAGCTCTGCTTGACTCTCTACCACTCTCCTGTACTATCCCTTTAGAACACAGCAACCATTTCAACTAAGGGATCATCTTATATTCCTCATGGACTGGAATTCAAGACAGGGCCATGAGAGGTGTAAAAACTTATCAGCTGACTCACAAGCAAATAAGACATTAATTGTCCTCAAAGATATTCAAGATTGAGACATATAAAGATGAAACAACAAAAATTTCAGTGATAAATTATCAGGCAGACAATTAAAGAATACCAATAATAATTTATACTATTTCCGTAACACTTTACAACTTTGCCAACTGTTTCTGACCTTTAGACTGATGTAGGTGCTCATCTTGTCTCCTTTACTTATGAGACCTAGAACAAGATGCAAAAGCTCTCTGATCCCCATCAGAAAATGGGAAAGGCTGCTCTGAGGCCTGAATGAGCTAACATGTGAGGTGCCTAGCAGAGGGCCCAGGCAGGGCAGGCACGGTGCAGGTGCTCAACTAATGCTGAGGTCTTTCTCCTTGAAGCTGCATGTGCCTAGCACAGAGAAGGGTATACGGTGGGCTCTTAAAAAAAAATGTCTACTAAGGAGCCAAGGAGTAATGTGCTATGATCTCAGTCCTCAGATATGATTCACACCTTTTCTACAATTGCCTATTTTCTGAACATAGCTTTGAAATGATCTATTATTCTCTGTCTCACTCTTCTGCACAATATCCAAAATAATTCAATGTCCCCCTTTCCCTCTGGGAAAATCAAAGGTTGACATGGCTACATTTTGAACTCAGGCTGTTACGGATCCCTTTCTTGTTTTCAAAAAGTTTTACTGGTTTTGAAAGGTCTTACTGATAAAACTCAGAGAAACTCAGGGGAAAAGGACAAAGAGAAAGAAGAAGAAAGAGAAAGAATAAAGAGGCCAGAAAAGAAAGAGAAAGAAGAGAGCCCAGGAGGAGCACAGAGAGGCAAAAGGCTATGGAATGCATAATTGCCAACAATTTTAGAAACTAGCTCATTTAACAATCATAGAACATTATTTTTAAAAACCAAGGGGAAAATATTTACATAAAATCCAAAGGATATATGCACTTTGTTAAATGCTGGAAAATGACAATGTATTCAATTCATTAATTCATGAATTAGTCTGTGTGATGTTTACTTTGGGCATCATTTAGCATTTCTGAGCTGAATATTTAAGAGATAAAGGAGAAATTTAAGAACTAAAGGTAGTAGTTGTTTTTTTTTTTTTCTTTTTTTTTTTTTTTTTTGTTACTGTATTTTGGTTATATGTGTACAGCTCCAGTGATAGATTTTAGAGGATGAGGTGACAGAAATGGGTGACATGAAACACCCTAAATCCCCTTGAAGCCCTCTAACCCTAAGTAACATATCAAAGTCATATGAGTTTCAAACATTTTTCTAATTGTGCTTATAAATGAAGGCTTCAAAAGCAGATATGTTACAATAAACACAAATTAAGAGTAAATTAGGCTTTAACAGTGTTTAGCAAGTTTTATGTTCTAATTAAAAACAGAATCACAACAATAAACATGACTTACCACCAGAATTAACTCTGCCGCAATTCTCTACTCTTCCCAAACATTCTTTGTGTGCTCTTGCGCCACACTTAAAACATAAATAGCCTTGATAAAATGTTCCTCTGAAAGGTAAAATTAGAGACTGATATATTAAAAAGATGCAAAACTCAGCCTATATGAAATCATTAGGGTAAGAAGAAAAAAAGTATCACAATGCTATTCAAAGTACTCTTCAGCAAAGGAGAGAACTTTCTGGAGGTTCTAAAGTGATAGCTGAGGTTCAAGGCCTAAAAAGATCTGTTAGATCCAAACTGTTAAGGCAATATCCCCACTTCAGAGCATTTTGGCTGGGATATTTTAAAAAGCCTGGAAAGGCTAGCAATTACACCAGTTCCTTAAAACTAAAAAAGAGGACCAATCAAGCTTACCTCAAGAGCATCTGGCAGACTTTGCAGGCTGTGACCCGAGTAAAGGTGTGCATCTTGAAGTCATGGAAATTAGAGTCTGCATAGTCTGGCCTTATATTAGATCTATAAAAAGGAAAAAGAAAGTTTTACAACAAAGCAGCAGTCCTGTCATCTAAAACCCAAATTCAGCAAAATGACATTGACTAGAGATTTGATTCAATCAGAAAGGTTATTAAATAATACAACGTTTTTAAAGCCAAAAGTATGCTATCTATTAAAATATGCATGAAAATCTGGTTGTGTGCAAACCAGTAACACATAAGGACAGAAGCTACTTAGTCTTCTTCAGAATCAAGTGTTCCCAGAGAACTTTACAGAATGGCCACATAGGTCAACCCATCATGAAAAAATGACACCTGCTGGATATTCATGCTGTGTGATCAGTTCTTATCTCTAATCATATCACTGAAATATAAACTAGCTGGTGAGGGTGAGAGGGAGGGAAGAGGCTGCTGCATTTACACGGAGTTCAGTGTGGGTTACGGCATGCATAATCTACAAAAATGAATAAAGTGATTTCATAGAAAGTTTGAAACCAGGTGTCTTAATTATCTAGTGCTGCTATAACAGAAAAATCACAAGTGGATGGCTTTAACAAACAGAAGTTTATTCTCTCACAGTCTAGTAGGCTAGAAGTCCGAATTCAGGGTGCCAGTTCTAGGGGAAGGCTTTCTCTCTCTGTTCGGTCTGGGGGAAGGTCTTTGTCATCACTCTTCCCCTAGTCTAGGAGCTTCTTAGCACAGGGACCCCAGGTCCAAAGGATGCGTTCACCTCCTGGTTCTTCATTCTTGGTGGTAGGAGGTCCCCCATGTCTCTCTGCTCATGTCTCTCTTTTATATTCCAAAATAGATTGACTCAATATACAACCTAATCTTACAGATTGAGGCCTGCCTTATTAACATAACTGCCTCTAATCCTCCCTCATTAACATCATAGAGGTAGGATTTACAACACATAGGAAAATTACATCAGATGACAAAATGGTGGACAATCACACAAT